TTTCCTAAAAAGACTTTGGCTTAACCGCAGAAGGCTTGATGTGTAGCATTAACACTACTGTTCAATTCAAAACATGTTCTTATTTGCACTGTAACTTCCCTCTCCCACACATGGGTTTTTTAAAATATATTTTTACATTTTCAGTCATAATGAGATTGTTTTTTACTTATCTTTTTGTTATTGATTTCCAATTTAATTCTGTTTTAAGTCAGAGAATAATCCTATGTTTTAAATTCTTTGAAAGTTGTTATGACTCATTTTATGAGCAACATATCTATTCATTTTTGTAAAAGATCTGGTTTACTTGAACAGAATGTGCATCTGCAATGAATGAGTGGAAAGTTCTAATTAGGTCAAACTTGCTAATTATGTTGTTCAAATCTTCTATAACTCTGTTTCTTTGCTTGGTTTTGTGTGGCTAGCCCATTACTGAGAAAGAGAGGTAATTTTTATTATCATGATGAATTTATCCATTTCTACTTTTGGGTCTATTAATTTATGTGGCTATATTATTATGTATATAGAAATTTAGAATTTTACCTTCCTAGTAATTGAATCTTTGTCATAAAAAAAAGTTCTTTCTCTCCCTAGGAGGGAATGACCACATCTCATTCCTTTCTCTTCCATTTTCCTCTCAGGACTTTGAGCACACATGCCAATGGGATTTTCAAGCTGTCAGGTCTAGGACTCGAACCACACAGTCAGCCATGTGGGATCCAGCTGCCTTAAACTCCATGCCATCTGCTGGCCCCAAAACACTTTTTTTTAGACTTATTTTTATATATGACATGTGTGCTCACTGGAGAGACAGAGACAGACAGAGAGAAAAGGAGAAATCATCCCCCAGCGGGGATAGTCACTCCACAATCCCTTCTCCTCCACTCTCCTCTCAGGATACAGGGCACACCCACACGCCTGGTGTGAGTTTTAAGCCACTGGGTCTGGGATTCAAAGCGCGGTAAACAATGTGGGAGTCCAACAATGCCATGTAACCATTATGCCACTGCTGAACTCCCCCTAAAATTTTTTAAGTTACTAAAGTGGTGAAAAGCTTCTAAAAGTGAAAGAATTTTTTAAGAGGAAGTAAATTATACTGTCAAATAAAGATATTTAGAGTCAACAAATTAAAATAAAACCTCTGAAACCAGTATTTTCTAAATTAACTGGGGAATGTGCGACATTATTTCACATATTCAACAGTCTTCCCAACAGGACATGCCTTTGGATGGAGATTTTAAAAAGATACTCTGACATATAAACCAAACAAATACCAGCAGCTATTTTAAGATGCCCTTGACGACACAGGCTGATGTCCTATAGGTCCGACTCATTGATTTATTAACTCCAACAGTAAATGTCTGATTATTTGCCAAATGCAACTCACCCCACACTCTTGCTTTGACTCCTATCAACAATATTTCATTATGAAAAGCAGAGTTCCTAATAAAATGCTACACCCAAATAAAATGTTTTCTGGTTCATGAGGTCTGGCAAATAGTCTTGTTCTGTCCCCCATGAAAACTGCTGTAGGGTTTCTATGAAACAGAGATTACACCAGACCACATATTTGTAACACCAAATGACTTAATAAAATGCCTGAACATCTAAAGAACATAAAGATCAGTAGTTACATGAGACTAATTATGCTATTCTTTCCACTGGCATAGGTGCTGAGTATTCACTCAGCAAACATTTGGTGAGGTGTAACTATGCCAGACAGTAACGATAAAGACCCACAAGGCAGTCTCAAAGGAGGTCCTGTGAAGAAGTCAGACGTGGAGGTAGAAACAGGAACACAATCACTGTCCTTCACTGCCTTAGAGTTATCAACCCTGGCCAGGCTGCCATGGGTTCGCAGAAGAAGAAATGCCAACAGTCTGTTCTGTTCCACTGTTTTGAGGAGAGCACAGGGGTTCCAGGAAAGCTTTACACAAGTGCACACAAATAAATTCAAGCCTGAGAAAAAAATGAAGACACATTTGCCAGGCAGGAAGAAGTAGGGAAAAAATCTTACAACTTTGTATAAAGGAAACTACTGATATTTTTGTTAGTAAAGCTACTTTTTTGGGGGGGGTTGGGGAGTTTTTGCTATATGGTGTGTGCACTTGCTGGTGAGACAAAGACAGAAAGCAAGAAATCACCTCTCAGTGGAGAAAGCCATACCACAATCCCCCCTCCTCTTAGGATTTTGGGCACACGTGCACATGTGCCCAGCCTAAATTTCAAGCCTCCAGGTCCAGGACTCGAGCCATGGTCAGCTATGTGAGAGTCCACTGACGTAACCATTACACTATCTGCTGGTCCAAAGCTGTTTTTAATGTAAAGAAAATGTGTAAGATGGTGGGTGGGACCAGCAGTTGGCGTAATGGCTATGTTGCTGGACTCCTATGTAGTTGACCATGGTTTGAGTCCCGGCCTCGGTGGCTTAAATTCACTCCAGGAGCCTGTGTGTGTGTGCCCAAGATCCTGAGAGGAGAACAGAGAGGAAGGGATTGCGGCAAGGCCATCCCCCCGGGGCGTGCTTTCTCACTTCCTGTCTCTGTTTTTCTTTCTGGCAAGCGCACGTGCCCAATAGCAAAAACCTCTCAAAAAAAAATAACTGTAAGATGGTATTAGTATATTTCATCAGGAGACACACAAATTGCCAAGTGACAGATTTGAGACTAGGGTCCCAGTTCCCCATATTATTTAATAACGATCATAGACTTCATAATCTTACAAAAGAGATCATTATAGAAGCAACCCTTTTTACAGGACCATATTGCTGAACTCAAAATGGAATATGTACTGATTCTAAAAACAACCTGAATTCTCTGGTTTTACACCATATATTACCTTTGTATTTATCAGTATAAATTTTGAAATACTAACACCAAAAGAGAGATATAATTTATCTAGGTCTTAATCTTCAGTAAGAATAATTTGTGCATTAATAAAACAGCAGAAATTATTTAGTTTCACAATGTGCTGTTTTAGTATGATGAGAGAGAACAAGACACTCCTACATACGTAACTAGTAAGAGCGAGTTACCTAAGTAACTTGGTACAGCTTTATGAACCACAAGTGGACTTCGTAAATGATATTACTTATAAGGTTGATTATTGGCTATTAGTAATGGCCAAAGATTGAAAGCAATATTCATCAATCAAAACCGGTTAAATATTCATCAGTCAAAACTGGTTAAATAGGGAACCAGCAGTTAGAGTAATGGCTATGTCCCGGACTCCCACGTAGTTGACCGCGGTTTGCGTCCCGGACCCAGTGGCTTAAAACTCACGCCGGGCGCGTGTGCGTGCATGCCCAAGATCCCAAGAAGAGAATGGAGGAGAAGGGACTGTGGTGTGACCATCCTCCCTGAGGGGTAATTTCTCTCTTTCTGTCTCTATGTCTCTCTCTGTCTGGCAAGCGCACGCGCCCTATAGCGACCTCTCCAAAAAAAATTTAAAAACTGGTTAAAAAAACTAAGGTACATCAATAAAGTGAGACAGAATAATCAACTGAAATGAGCATTTTAGTAAAACACTTCAGAGACAGTGAGACTCGAACCAGGGTACAGGCAAATATTCAAAAACGAACAGAATCAGAGAAGAAGTAAAGAGGCTTTGATAATAAACTAAATGCAGGTAAAAATTCAAGAGAGCACACAGCCAAGAATTAGAAAACAAATCATTCAAAGCAATACTGCACAAATACTGGTTTTATCTACAATTTATATAAAATGCTTAGGCACTAAATATTGTATTGGGTTGTAGAGAAAGTCATGATGTATTTTTGCATAGAAAAATATGTCCTGACTTTCCCAACGACCTAATGTATTTGTTAAATGAATAAAAATCTCTTCATCAAATGGTAATTAGACAAAGGAAACTATTTTCACCAACGATTGGAAAACTCTATTAAGAAAAATTAAAAAAAAAAAGCTCCTTGCTTACTCTTAGAGCAAACAATACTAAGATACCTCAGACCAAGTAAAGTAAGAACCATATCCAAGACCAAAGTACACATTAGCACTTGCTAGAAACAATGTTTTTTCCAAAATTGTTGGCACGTTTCATTATTGTGGTGTGGACCCTGGCAATCTACAGCAGAGTGACTTTTCTAGACAACACGACGTTACTACTTTTTTTTTTCTTTTTTGGAGAGGTTTTTTTTTTTTTGCTATTAGGCGTGTGCGCTCGCCAGAGAGAGACAGAGAGACAGAAAGCAAGAAATCTCCCCCCAAGGGGAGATGGCAACGCCGCAATCCCTTCTCCTCCATTCTCCTCTCGGAATCTTGGACACGAATGCACACGTGCCCGGCTTAAGTCACTGGGTCCGAGACTCAAACCAGAGTCAACTACATGGGAGGCCAGCAACACAGCCATTACGCTAACTGCTGGTGCCACAACACATTACTTCTGCACCAAAACTAAAATGGGACCTGGTCCTGGCAGAAAGACAGTGCCTGACCTTCAAGCACTGGAAGCTTTACTGAGGCAATGAGGTGTAAGGTGGGATCAAGAAGCCAAGGGTCCCTTAGAGTACTTTCGCAAATGTCTTAGATTTTAGAGCTGGGATGATTTTTACCTATAGGGAATTTATCAATAAAGTATGATATTAGCTGTTTATACTGGTAAGTATTAAAAACAAGTGGACAAACCACTCTGCAAAGATAATACAAGTTCCAGAAAAAAAGTCAAATATACACAAGGGTTTACATTATAGCAGTCACCAAATATAGAGATTAATAGAGAAAAATAAAGTTTTAAATTAAAAAAAAAGATGACACAGTAACAAATGGAATCAGTTCTAGTATGAAATATAATCTAAAATATTTCACAATTTATGTCAAATTTTTAAATTAGCTACTCCAAAGATTACATGAACCAGTAAGCATTTATCTAGAAAATATTTATAAACTCATAGCATAATCAAATTAACAAGCTTCCAAATATATATATTTGACAAATTAATTTCAGCCAGTCAGAAAAACTCAAAATTGATGCAATCAATTCTTTACCTGCAGCTCCTTTGAGACTCTCTCTAAGTGATTAGTTATCTTTTTAATCAGATCACTATACATCTGTTCCGAGTGCTGCTGGCATACACACTTATACACACAACTGTAAAAAAGCACACACACAAAAAAAAACCAAGTTAATGATACAGCACTCAACTCAGCCCAAGGTTAAAATACTAAAGTACACTTTCAATATACACTCACTGATCAAATACTTAATTAAGACCTCAAAGAGTGATCAATCACAACTTTTAAATAAGCATTTATCACTCTCCAAAGTCCAAACAGAAAAGATATTACCATCAGTTGCAAATAATCTCTTTAGAGTAGTCTACTACACACTTAATCAGTACTAGATACGCTAACACTGGGGGATAATCCAGTGTCTGAATATGATAATGATTTAGAATCCAGGTACTCTCTGGCTCTCTCTTTTTTAAAATCAATATCAAAACAAGGAAGAGAGAAGCAGAAAGTTTCTAACTCACAGAAATCTGAACATCAGTTGTGTGGAACAACACACATGTCACTTCCTCCTCCCGTCACTGTGCTGATCTCACATCCCACCCTAGTTCCTAATCTGCTGCTTCCATTTACCAGGAGCTGGGAAACAAAATGATCGAAAACAGAATCATGTGTCAATAAACATCAACAGATTAAACTCGGGTTTCCCTTTTTGCAACACAGACTTTAGTCATTTTTGCTTTGTTCACTGCCCTCCATAGCTTCTGCGCTTCGTACGGCGGTTGTAGCGGGCTGAGATAGAGAAAGTCTAACACAGTATGGATGAAAGTATATTCTGATTTGAAAACTACTTCTAACTCAAAAAGTATAAATCGAACTTCCAATCTACAAGCATGGAATATAAAAATACTTACAGAGCCTCATCTTAAACATTATATACTACTTGTACACATGCATGCGTGCTGCCATAATTCAAGCTGCCCATAACCTCAATATACTCTTTCAAACCCAGGCAAGTTAAATCTTGACTTACCTGTATATCTGTTCATAGGATATAGGAATATAGTCACCAGGACTCTGTGTTAAAAGTTGATCTATGGCACCATCCAATTTTGGCCAGTATGTGCTCTTATAATCTTCAATAGTTATAACATTCATTACTAGAAGTTAAAAAATATATAATTACGTGTCACACATAAAGTAAACACAAGTCATAGCCATTTCTACTCTCATTCAAGTTTCTTTCACTTAACTCTTCTGATATTCCACCTTACATGACATTCCATCAACAAACTGCCTAATTTCAATTAAAAATTGTTTTAAAAAGGCAACCTGTTCGGGAATGTTAAGCAGCCACTGATCATGAGTTTAAATGTAATTATTATGAATCTGGCCATCTTTAAAAATAAAATGAAAACAAGCAAATTATCATTGGTTTCCTTCCTGGTTTTCTGTAAGCTTCACGAGTGAAGCATTCTTAAACATGCTCTGACCCTCAAATATACACTGTCAATTAAGTGACCAAAAAATGATCAGAGGACCACAAGAAGGTGCTCAGAAATTGTGAACACCAACAATCTATATAGACATGCCAGGGACCATCTTACCCAGGACAAGACTGTAGACACTGAAGTCCATATACTACAGTCACAAAAGGAGTTGCTAGAAAACTTGCTGAGTTACGATACCACCATGCCTCTCAGACATTACTACAGCTCCAACCCACTCTTACTATGTTAAATTTGAGAGGCCCAAGCAGGAAAGAAAGGTAATGAACTGAAGCCTTAAAGTTTTACTTCATTCCTACTAACGGGCTTTTATTCCTTCACTCAAAGTTTTATAAAGGATTCGTAACAATTAGTTCTAACAACTTTGAAATCCAGGGGTGACAGTTCACAACAATAAAATGCTAACTTTTTTATGTTAAAAAAAGAAAAAAAGCTACCCAAAGAATCTATGGATACCCTGTGTCTTACGAACCACAGTTACCTTGGGAGGCAGGAAGTAACAACTACTACTAGATCAGGTATGTTACTGTTTATCTCATCAGAAACTGGGGAGCAAAAAGATTTAAGTGACGTGACTTCCTCAAGAAGACCTAGCTTGGGACCAGCAGATGATATAATGGTTACATTGCTGGACTCCCACGTAGTCAATGAGTCCCAGACCCACAGCTTAAAACACACCAGGCACATATGCGTGTGTGCCCTAAATTCCAAGAAGAGAATGGAGGAGAAGTGACTGTGGTGTGGCCCTCTCCCCTCAGGAGTGACTTCTCGCTTTCTGTCTTTTCGGAGCTCATATGCAGCCTATGGCAAAAATCTCTTAAAAAGTGAAAAAAAAAAAAAAAAAAAAAGAACACCTGGCTAATTATTGATTCAAGTACCAGGTAAAGCAAAGAAAGTCTTTCCTGAATCTACTACATTACTAATTTCCAAACCAAAGTCATTCAAGACTCTTTTCTAACTATGTACCACTTACATCAATTCTGTTCAATATTTTTTAAACCAACTCACTTTTGCTTTTACTTAAATGTATTTTAAAGCACACCTGAGGAACAAACTACTAATTCAAGCAACAATAATTTAAAATACATTTTGCTAAATTAAAGAAGCCAAACCCCAAAAGTCAAATATTCAAAGAGTGCCGCTTACATGACTCTAGTAAAGGCATAACTATGGGGGGGGGGGGGGGGAAGTAAAAAAAAACAGGTAAGTGGTTGCCAGGGGTGGAAGGAGGGGAAAGGATTACCTGTAAAGGAGAACCATAGGGGAATTTGTAGAACAATGAATTGTTTTGTATTGAACCGGTAGTGGACATATCACTCAATGTGTTTGTCAATGCCAACAGAACTGTATACCGTAAAGTGAATTTAATGTAATTTTTAAAACAATCAACCAGGGGGACCAGTGGATGGTGTAACAGTTATGTCACTGGACTCCCAGGACTATGTGCAGTTTGAGTCTCGGACCCAGTAGCTTAATACTCACGCCGGGTGTGTGTGCACGTGTACCCAAAAATCCCAAGACGAGAATGGAGAAGGGACTGTGGTATGGCCATACCCACTGTGAGGGTGATTTCTCACTTTTGTTTCTTGTCTCTCCAGTGAATGTACATGGCCTAATAGCAAAAATCTCTTACAAAAGAAAAATCAACCAGGTTGTAGAGGTAAAGATGGGATGCAAACTGTGACAAATCAACCTAGTTTTCAAATTAATTCCTTAAGTCTCACTGAAAGAAATGGGGGAGATAAGGAGTGTTTTGACAAGATGTAAGGCTAAAGACAAAAAGAGCTGTATTTGCACACATGTGTGGTAATGAACAGACATGGAGTAGGAGGCAGCCAGTTCAGACTCGGGTCTTATGAGCCACTGCAGTAACTTTTATTAAGTAAGATGGGAGCCTCCAGAAGGTGTGAGCAGAGGAGTGATACGATCCAACTTAGGTTTTATATGGGATCATCCCAGCCACTGTATTGCAAGTAAACCAACTTAGAAGGCTGCTGAGTTGATGGGGTTGGGCCAGGTATTGGCACTGAGGATGATAAAGAGGGATCAGATTCGGAATATATTTTAAGGGTACAGCCTTTAAAAGATTTGCTGATGAACTGGATATGAAATGTGTAAGAAAGGTCAGGGATGACTCCAAAGTTTCTGGTCTGAGCACAAAAGGATGGCATTTACTAAGATGAGGAGACTGTAAGAAAAACTTGAGCTTTTCTGGGGTGTAGCAGATACTGCTGGTGCCCCACCCAATACTCCATAAAAGCCAAATGTCAACACCTACTACTCCTTGTCTCAGTGTGTGCTCTGGAGAATACAACCTCCAGAGTCGCCTTCAACCAATGACGACGAAGGACTCAGGTGCTCCCTCTGTTCTTAGGTGAGCTACCTCCAAGGCGCAAGTGCTACACTGACTCCACCGTTTCTCCCCTGGGATTATGTTCCAGGTGCCCAGTGGTGCCTAACTTTACCAGCTGCTTTACTCTCCTGTCTCACTTTCCCACTCCTCTATGGGTGCCCACACATACACTTAAAAGTTCCTTCTGCTAAGAAAAAAAAAAAAAGAAAACAAAAAAACTCAAAAAATGGAAAGTCATGTCACTTACCATTATAGAAGACAACTGAGAATAAATACAATGTGTTTAAATTTCAGCTAGGTCCTACTGCCTGCTAAAGGTTCTGGGCCTGAACCTCTTGCTTTTCTTGTTTAAGAAAAAAAAAGGAGGGGTGGTGGGCAATTGGCACATGTTAAAAAGTATTACACACTAACTCCAAAATAGTTCCTTTCTGCTTACATAATCAAAGAAAACTCAAAAATAAAGTTATGTTCTTACTACATAATTCCTAATTACCGAACCATATTATCAGTATTACCTAAACTACATCTTATATCTGCCCTACACCAAAAACTGAGACTGGTGAAGGTAAGTGCAAGTCTCAAAAAGAAAACCACAAGTACTATAAAGCCAAGAGTTAGCATACCAATCCCACCGGCTCCTCCACTGCTTAGTTCAATAAACCACACCCTTGCTGCAGTGGGAGAGCACTCCTACTTCTCAAGCATCTGCACAGCTACAGGCGGTTTGAAGAATAAGCACTAGTTGGTATACGCTCTTAGCCAAAGAGTAAGAAGGTTCTTCATACCAATCTACAAACACCACCTAAAATGATAATCCAAGAAACTTCTTAAGATATTTATTTCCCTGATAATCTCAATCCAATCCCTAATAAATAAACAAAAACTAATAGTTGTTCTGCTTATATAGTACTGGACACATGCAGCGACACGTATAGCCTGGGTATATGTGTGTGTATAGTCTCTAGAACTTTAAAAGTAGATTTTCTTGTTAAAAAAATGTAATCACTGTTAACTGCCCATGGAAACACTCAGGTGGGCAAAATGCAGCCAAAATTCACACAATGTGTAGAAAACAGCTAACCTACTCATTTAAAAAGGTGACATGGGGCTCAAATAAGGTGGTGCAAGTAGTAGGCAATGGACCACAAAGCTGAGGGCACAGGGGAAGCCTGGTCAGATTTCGGACTAACCTACCTGGGGCAGAAAAACCATAAAATGCCCGAGATCTTGTCAAAATTACCTATCTCATCCTCATCCACCCACCTCAGTAAAACAAAAACACAACATGAGCACTACAGATTGGAGCACCATGAAGTGATCTTAGGAAAGCTGTAAGGTTGCATAATTTAGGCGATATGTATTTTTCAGCTTTTGGTTTCTGATTTCAGTAGTTCAGCATTAAATGAGAGAACTTACAGAAGTTCATAGAAAAATGAAATGAAAGCATAAAAATAAAAACACATACTTTCTTTCTCAACACAGGCTCCAAAGTTTGACACTTTCATAAGCGACATACCAGACATGGAGTCCATCCCTAAAAAACAAAGGATCCTGGGAACCTAGTAATAGTAATTAATGCAGTTATTTTTACATTATTAACTGAAATATGGGTACCATTTCAAGACTTTTTAAGATTAGGAAACAAAAAGTCAGAGGAGGTAAATCAGGACTATAAAGTGGATGCCTTATAATTTCCCATTGACACTCACAAAATTGTATGATGAGCGGAATGGGCAGAAGCATTGATGTGGTGGAGAAAAACTCTCTGGGAAGTTTTCCCAGGTGTTTTTCTGCTAAAGCTTCAGCTAACTTTCTCAAAATACTCTCATAAGTGATGCTGTTGTTCTTTGGTTCTGGAAAACCAACAAACAAAATTACCTTGAGCACCCAAGAAACAAACCACTGCCATGACCTTGCTCTTGACTGGGCAGCCTCTGCTGTGAGTACACCACTTCCACATCTTGGTTGCCACTGCTTCCATTGAGCTGTCTGAAGAGTCGTACTGGTAAAGCCACGTGTCATTCCCAACTACACTTTTCGAAGAAATGCTCCAGGATCTTGATCCCACTTGTTTTTCATTTCCATTGGAATCTCTGCTCTTGCCTGCAGGTGATCTGGGCCTAAAATTGGTACTCATCAAGCAGAAAGTTTGCTCAACTTGAATTTTCCAGTTAGAATTGTGTAAGCTGAACCAACTGGATGTCTGTGTTTCTACAGTTAATCCATCCCCTTTAATGAGGACAAAGACAAGATTAATTTTTACCTCACTAACTGATGTCAACAGTCTGTTAGTAAAGGT